CCTTTTTTACAATTATTTTTCATTGTGCCTGACTGCGAGAGGCTGTTTCCGTGGGTGTCGGTGGAGTGGCACGGCTGCGCTGGGACAAAGCGTCTCTGTGTGTCCATGAGGGTGAAAGGGTGGCCCCGTGCCCTGGTCCCACGCAGCCTCACCGACGCAGAGGGAGGGCACGGGTGGCTGCAGCCGTCGTGGTGATGGCCACAGTGGCCCTGGCCCTGAAGGGGCTGCGGGTCAAATTCATCACCTCTCCTCCTCCTTCCCACTGCACTGGGATGCAGCAGGGTGGTCCTGAGCCACAGCGTGGCCCGTACAGCCCCATGCGGTCCCCACGCAGATGTGGGGTCCCTGCCTGGTCCCGTGCCATCCCAGCTGGTCCCCTTGGACAGGGGATTTCTCCACTCTGCACATGTTTTCTGATGGAACAAGATCTTCACAACATATTGCACTGGAGGCTGGGGTTCTGTCTTGCATCCAGGCTTGTGGGGAGCGTGGTACGAATGGCTGCAGCCTCCTGGGGTGACCCTGGCAAAGCAGCTCCTTGCTCCAAGCGAGAGCAAAAACGAGGAGAGTGCCAAATGCTGGTCTCTACTGGGAAGGAAATGGGCCGGGTGGAAATGCACTGATGGGAGATGGCATCCTCCCTCATCAGCTTCGTTAGCTCGATCTCTGATCAGACGTCAGTATGGGTACGTGCCACGCCACACCTAGGCAGGGAGGAAAAGGGCCACCTCCACCCACCTCCGTGGTTCTGTGCCATAGCCTTGTCCCAAGGGCTCTCATTCTGTCCAGAGCCCCCAGGAGACGTGGGGACACATCCCTGCTGGTGACAGTGTCATCGCTTTGCACCAACTCTGGGGCTGCATCGTCGTCCTGTAAAGCAGCTCACCAGAGCGTTGCTTTTGTTCCTGAAAGCCGAGTTCTCATGCAGCAAAAAGCTATACATTAATTACCACAGGCAAGGACGGGCATGGAGGGAGCAGCCGGAACCAGCGTCAGCACCTGCCTTTGATCTGCCGCCAAGTTGGGATGCACCCGGATCCGTCTCATCCTCCCGGAGCAGCTGACTGAGGGCTGGCGCTAAGTCAGCAGTTGATGTGCATCGCTGGCGTGTGCCCCAGCACCTCCAAGAATAAACTCCTGCAGCAGGATCACGAGGAGAGTGGCGCTGGGGAAGGGCAGCTCTGCTGCTCCCGCCAGTCCACCCCTGCACCAGCATGGGTGTGCGGGGGGTCTGCACGGCCGTGGGGTCTCCTGTGGGAAACCTGGAGCTCTCTGTGGGGTACTGTCATGCGTGTGAGTGTTTGCAGAGTCAGAGACAAACCTTGGCACTCTCTACCTGAATCTTTTGGAGCCCCAAGCTCTGCTGTTCCGGTGTGCTGGCCTGGGCTTTCCTGTTTTCAGGAAGTACGGGCCAAATCCAAATTGCGGCTACGTCTGCGTTAACGAAGGGCATCGGCTGAGCTCTGTACTGCTCCCTGAGTGCCTGCAGTGGGAACAGAGCCTGTGCTTTTTAAATGTAACATCACTTATCAGATTAGCCACCGCTGTGGTTTACCCAAGGTGTGAAGGTATAAAATTAGCTCCATCCTAGAACTCAAGTAACGGCACCGACAGTGCAAGGTGCAGCAACACCCCCCGCAGGCAGCTGATCTAGCCCTGCGCAGGGCCAGAAGGCAGTGAGGGGCTTTGGGAAGGGGAAGAGACCCCAGGAGCTCCTGCACGTACCTCGGGCGGTGTGTCGCGACGGTCCCACAGCATCCAAGGAATGTTTGCCCAGGGAGGTGGTGGAGTCACCATCCCTGGAGGGGTTCAAGAAACGTGTCAATGTGGCGCTTGGGGACGTGGGTTAGTGGGTTGGGTGGGGTTGGGTTGATGATCCTTGAAGTACTTTCCAGCCTCAATGATTCTATGAAACCCCTGGCCTGGCAGAGCTGGAGTCAGCAGCTCTGTGCAGCCCAGGCCCCAGTTTCACTGCCCCAGACAAATCCCTGTCCCCTCCCTGTTCCAGCACAGCGTGGGCTG